CGGCCCCGGCCTCCTCCGGCGAGGTCAACGGGTGCGAAGACAAGGAAAATCAGGACCCGCTCTCGATGCCGCCGCCGCTCGAGGACAATCCATCGGGGGGGCAGGGAAAGGAGGATGACCCGCCCGCTGCTTCGACGAGCAAGTTCTTTGGTGGCAGTGGCGGTGGCGGCGGCGGCAGGCGGGGTGCGGCCGTGCAACCGTCCGGCCTCCGGAGGCGATTTCGGCCACCTCTCGACGCGGGCAGGAGTTCCGCCGGCGGCGGCGGCGGCGGCAGCGGGCGCTCTGCTCTTCGCGGAGGTCGCGGCGACGTCGATAACGACGCCGGAGACACGGACCCATGTGGAGCAGCGGACTACGCGTATCCTCGCCTCGATGTTCCGCGAGAGACAGCGGCGGTGGCCGGGGCGGCTGGCTTGGGCTCAGGCACCGCCACGCGTGGCGGTGGCGGCGGCGGCGGCGGCGGCGGCGGCGGCGGCGGCCGGCTGAAACGGAGACGGACGCTCGGGCTCGGATCGGTGGCACCCAGCAGGATGATCCGCGGCTTGGAAGGGGTGGGGGGCGGCGGGGCTGGGGGACCTGGTCGGCGTAGCAAGAGTCTTGGAGGTGGGAGACTATTTAGGAGCGAATTTTACGCTTTCCGCGCATGACAACGACATGTAATGTATTATTTTTGTTGAGTTTTCGTGCGCCGCAAGCGTTTCCGGGTTCCGGGGTATCTGTGATTCTGAGTGACGCTTCTTCTGTGCCAAAGCTGGGGAGGCAGTTGTTGTAGCTGTCAAAGTGAAGGAAAAACAGATCAGCCTTCTCTTCGTTGTTTTGTGCGCTTCGACCGACTGGGTCATTTCAGCAGCAGCCGGCTCTCTTGTCTCTTTCGTCCTTGTGAGGGTGGACCCCCCCTCTCGTGTGCCAAGATGTACCCCGGCCAATCCCATCCACCGCGCCCCCATCCCGTGCTCCGGAACCCTGCGTCAAATTCGTTCGTTCGGTGTGAGGAAGGTGTACCTAGCGCCGCGAGGCACGACGAAGACGACAACGCTAATGGCAACAACGGTGACAAAGCAGGCTGCGTCGGAGACGCTGACGTTGGTTGCGTCAGCAACCTCTTCGAGAGGTTCGCTGCAAGACCGCAATATCATCATTCCCTAAAGGCCACACCTATTGGCCGACAACCACCAGCAGCATGGAAAAAGCCTGGTACTACGGACGACGGTGATGATAATGGGGCAGCAACCGTTGCGACAAATGAGCTCCGTGCCACTGCTTCCCCCGCTGCCGCTACGATCAGCGAGGCAGACGACGACCACCACCACCAACATACTAAACCCAAAATAACTGTGCACGCGGGCGGGACGGCGGCGGGGGCCAAGGAGGATGGAGCGGCGAGCGATGATGCCCCCTTGACGGGGGAGCACGCACAGAAAGACACTCCTAGCCATTCCACCCCCCTTGCTGCTGCGCCAATATCGTCACCGCCTGCTCGTGGGAGGATGGCAGATCGACCCCGGGTGGGGGCGGGCCATGATGATGGTGTTGGCGGCTTCGCCAGCGTGGACGGAAAGGGCACTACCTGCTGCATCACGACCGCGATCAAAAACAAGAGCAGTTGCAGCGTTAGAAACCACCAAGACAAGCATGTTTGTCGCCGCGGAAGTAGCAATGCGGGTATCAGCGAGCGAAGGAAGAGTAGTAGTGGTAGCAGCAGCGCAGCAGGTCGAACGACGAAGGATTTGGCCGGCGGGAATAGTGGGTTGAGCCCCGACATTTTTGCTCAGTTCATGTATTCACCACCATCGCGGTGAGGAGGTGTGCTCCCCCTGGCGGCTACTAAATTACTTGTTTGTGCTGCCGCTGCTTGACACAGCAGTGGAAAGCGTCCTTCCTCTCTATATTGGTCGCCCAGCAGAGTTAAAAGTACAGCTAAATTTAATTTTGGGGAATCTCATTCTCAGGGAGGAGGTGGACCAGCAGTAGTCCGCATCTCGTACCTATCTATTGATGCATACCTGCAGGTGATAGTTTGGGCTGTTGTATGCTCGTGGCGATTACCGGCGAGAGACGGGCGTCTGAAACCTGTTCTCGCGTCTAAAATTGAGATGAGGAACGCATGCTGCACGCGCCTTTCCGAGGCAGAGGCGGCGGCGCCGGTTTTATTCCCTCTTGTTGGAGTGGAACGGTTCTATCCTTATTTTCTCCCGAAGTTAACATTTTTGACAGGGTCTGAAGGGTGTTGGTAGATGGCTCCTTGTAAGACGGTGCCAGCAACCGCGGATTTGTCGGTTTATTTAGCAAGACTTGGCATGTTTGGTGCAAGTGTGCACAACAAGCGTTTTTCTTGGCTCCTTTGCTGAAAACACACACTTCACAGCGTGTCCATGGTGGGTGCGTGGGTGTCAAATGAGGCACAACGCCTTTTCCACCTGTGCGCGTGAATCGACAATCGCGCATCGATGCGTGAACGTCCGGTACATTAAGCGCGTCATAAGCTTCATTTTTCAGGGAATGTGAAGGACTTGGCTGCTCGTGCTCCCAGATTGCGCTCTAGACATGCCCACGTTTCATGATATGTCCAATAGGTTGCCAACTATCTTGAGACGTACGGTAGAGAAGGGGAGGACACCATGCCTGCCCACCCGTTGAAGACTCCTTCGTTGATGCCACATCCATCAATCCAGGGTCACATCTCCGGGTCGAGTGCCCAGGGAATGCTTTCTATTGTTGTGAGCGCGCGCGCCCCCGTGCGCGAAACTTTAGAGCGATTGATTTAAGTGTGATTTTTACGATTTAACAAGCCAGTACAGCTCGCACGTTTTGTTTTAATTTCTCACGAAAGCCACAACATGCTTAACAAGATGTCGGAAGCACCCAAGCCTCAACAACACCTCACGTAGTTCGCCTGAGCGACTAATTCAACCAAACTAACGGGTGACAAAAAACTCCTATTTGGGTCGGTCGGATGGACCATGAGAGAAACGAAAGGGAGTGATGTGAAATCAACAAAAAAAAGAGGCATAAAACTGCGGGAAGAAGAATAAAACCCACCGAGACGCGGAGTACTCCGCTCCCTGTTGCCACTGGAAAAACAGACCAAACGTCAGCATCCAAGCGTGAGCTGAACTAGGACATTCTACAAGAAATGTGGCACGACTGCACTGCACATCATGTACGACCCCGCGTTCACACAGTAGACGCAGAATCTTTGAAAATCCGATTCGTCCTTTTGTAATCAACGGAGCGAAGGTCCCTCACGTTCGACATCATCAGGTCTCCTCTCCACCCGCCTCTCAACCCCTGCCGCCAAACAGTCAAAACACTCCCACACACCCGACATACCCTAAACGGGCAAATTACAAGAGACGAAACAGAAAACACGGCCAAAACGACACCAACCCTCTTTCATACCAACAGCCTCACGCGCTTCCTTCTTCGCCTGCACACCAAAGCGGTGAAGAAAGTAAAAACACTTAAAAGCACTTGCGGTGCACGATCGACGGCCCGGACTCGTCGTACTCCGCCTTGGAGATCCACATCTGCTGGAATGTCGACAGGGATGCGAGGATGGAGCCACCGATCCACACCGAGTACTTGCGCTCGGGGGGTGCCACGACCTTGATCTTCATGGTCGACGGCGCCAGCGCGGTGAGCTCCTTGGTCATGCGCTCGCCGATGCCAGGGAACATGGTGGTTCCGCCCGAGAGCACGATGTTGCCGTAGAGGTCCTTGCGGATGTCGACGTCGCACTTCATGATGGTCTTGAAGGTGCAGTCGTGGATACCCGAGGATTCCATGCCGATGAACGACGGCTGGAAGAGCACCTGTGGGGAGGAAAGCAAGAAATATACAAACGAAATTTTTTCGGGGAGTAGCAAGGGAAGGCAGGTGAGCACATTCCGTAGAGACATGCGAATGCGAGTGTGACGCCCGGTGGCAATAGGCTTCAACTCTACCGTAGAAAGGTTTTTAAGTGTAGATCTCCATCGTTTCTTCTAATCGGCTTGGGCTACGCCGTGTGTGAAAAGCGGGCAAAAAAAAACTACCAGAGCAGTACGGAAGAGCTCGTTGCCGAACACGACCGTTTCTCCGTCCTGGAGCTCAAGCTTGTATGTACATCATACCCGCGAGTTCCGGCGCCGCCATTCCATTCCGCCAAATCGTTCACGCGGAACTAGGTATAGCGTCGCTCATGATAAAACGTAAATAAAATATTGTCGGGACGAACTTTCAGATGCAAAACATCCGTGTGGGCTTTGTCTTCGTGTGGGTGTGATACAAATTGGGAAAATTATCAGCGTGACCCGAGCTTCTTACTTCAAGTTGCGCTCCCACGAAAACAATTTGGGGCAACGAGACCTCAAGAACACATTTATGCCGGGCACATATTCGTCAGCACAGTCAGACACGTACCTCGGGGCAACGGAAGCGCTCGTTACCGATCACGATGACGTTCCCGTCGGGGAGCTCGTACGACTTCTCGAGCTGGGACGACTCTGCGGCGGTCTTCATCTCTTGATCGAAGTCGAGAGCCACGTACGTGAGCTTCTCCTTGATGTCGCGCACGATCTCACGTTCGGCCGTCGTGGTGAACGAGTAACCGCGCTCCGTCAATACCTTCATGAGGTTGTCCGTCAGGTCGCGGCCGGCGAGGTCCAGCCTGTTGATGGCGTGGGGCAGGGCGTACCCCTCGTAGATGGGCACGGTGTGCGACACGCCGTCGCCCGAGTCGAGCACGCACCCCGTGGTCCGCCCCGATGCGTACAGGGAGAGCACGGCCTGGATGTTCACGTACATGGCCGGCACGTTGAATGTCTCGAACATGATTTGGGTCATGCGCTCCTTGTTCGCCTTGGGGTTTAGTGGCGCCTCGGTCAGGAGGACCGGGTGCTCCTCGGGGGCGACGCGGAGCTCGTTGTAGAAGGTGTGGTGCCAGATCTTCTCCATGTCGTCCCAGTTGGTCACGATGCCGTGCTCAATGGGGTACTTAAGGGTGAGGACGCCCCGCTTGGACTGGGCCTCGTCGCCCACGTAGGCGTCCTTTTGGTCCATGCCGACCTGGGGAGGGAAGAGACGAAGTGGAGGAGTCGCAGGTATCAAGCATCTCAAGCGTTTTTTCTTTCAACACAACGAGGAATGTGTGTGTGGTCACTGAAGTGTGGCAGGATCACAGCGGCACAGAGCGCCATTGTTGTAGGTTCCTTTTGCGAGTGTTCCATATGCGTACCCCGATCTTCGCAGCCCGCACAACAAAGGTGCCGAAACGTACGGCTTGGAAGTTTATGATGGGAGGAGAATGCTGTCCTCAGCGGCAGCACGATAGTAGAAATGAGAAACATCGACAAAGCAATCTACAGATTTCAACGGTTGCGGTACTGATCGCGAGTCATACATGCGTTCTCAGCGGCGATGCCCCATCTCAACGTCTGTCCCCCACATAAACGCGGCATTGCAGCTGCATTCGCCAGGGGGTATGAATTTCATTTGAAAAGCAGACCCGACAGTACGCGCGCATCAATTGTGCTTTTTGGCGGTAAAAAAAGATGTGCATACGGTGTAGCTGGTTGCTGATGGCCCGTTCCCATTTTTCAGGCGCGAGTTCCTGCGAGCGGTGGGAAGCATTTATTTTCCTTTTAAATCTGACCGTTCAAGCAACCGACTTGAGGTTGTGCACCCAACCCTGCTGTGCATCTCTCGCACACGAAACCTTCGGCGGCGGCAACAGGTGTGTATTTTTCTCACATGGTTCTTACGCTTCTGATTTCGGGAAAACGGGAGATGTGTGACTTGACTTCTCTGCGACCAGGTCGCGTTTACCAAAATCAAGAATCGATTTTTCCGCAGGGGATGGCCACGTCGCAAACACTTCCGGGAGCAACAAGAAACTCTGTTTTCCGTAAACTGCTGTCGTAAGGGAGGGAGGGAACATCAGGCGCAAGCGAGACGACCGCACAGATCAGCGTCGAGTGCAACTCTCCCGTGCAGGCCCGTGCGCAACGGGCAATGCAAAGTTAGGACTGTTTCGGACAGGTCGTGTTCGGGGTCGGGCGTGTGTGAGATCTGCAAGCCTACGACGAGAAGATCAGCAGGCGAGAGAGCGCCTGTTTTTTCGCAACATTCTGGGAATTTCTCCCAGATTGCCACCTCGTGGGAACACGAACCAGCGCCCTGGAACCGGAGCGTTTGGTAGCGAACGAGCGGGGGTACATGCGCAACGTACAGTAGGTACTTGGCTTGTGCCCGAGGGCCGCGGGGATAGAGCAGGCAGCAGACGCAAGCTCGCCGTGTCTCGCCGAAAGAGAGCAGGGAATTTGGGCGAAAAGAACATTTGAGGACACACGGCCAGCTGCGACGTGGTAGACCTTCCAAGCCCATCAAAAGCGCGGAAGGCGCGAACACAGGATCCCTAGAACACAACGCAATGCACAGCTGAATTGGGTGTGCTACTGTCGTTGCGCTCGGCCGCAGCCCCGAGCCGGGCTAACACCTGTAGATGTGCTTCTGCGGTGAATTTGGAACCGCTGAGGCGAGTTTTTGTCTACATCTAGGATAGGTTTGCGAGAGAGGAGGGACTCACCATGATTCCGGGGTGCTTGGGGCGACCCACGATGGAGGGGAACACGGCGCGGGGCGCGTCGTCACCGGCAAACCCGGCCTTGCACATCCCGGACCCGTTGTCCACCACCAAAGCTTGTACATCTTCGTCCGCCATTGTGAAAAAGTTGGGGTGTGGTATGTCTGAGAGAAAACTGAGTGTGCAGAGAGGGGCGGGACGAAAAGAAGAGCAGCTGCGAGAAAAAACGCATCGGAGGATCTCCAAGGGGATCAGGGCCACCGGAAAAAAATGTGAAACTGGAAGGGGGCGGGGGGTACACGATATGGTCTGTCCGCTGCGCTTGGCTCCGGTGCTCGCCACTACTTCTGTGTTGCTCGTGCTACTTCTACGGTAGTGAGAACTGGAGAGGTGCACTATATTCTAGTTGATGCACATTACGGGGTGATGGTTAGATTTCTGGTGGCATTGTTGGGGGTTGTGGCGGTGGTGACTGCTGTCTTTCCGGATAGTGCTGCTGCTGCTGCTGCTGACGAGGAAGAAGCCGGATCCAATGACCAGGTCAAGATTGGAGAGCTGTATCAAGGAAGAGTCGAACCAAAGGAGTGGATTCCCATCACGCGGAGCAGCACTGCCCCTCAGCCGGTGAGGACCAGAGTGATACTGGAATAAGTCACAGCAGATGCATGCAACACGATCAACTTTCTTGAAGAAGAGAACAAGGAACACAGGAGGCAGGCTACTTGCTTCCTAACTCAAGCTGCTGTCGGTTCTCAACTGTCTCAATGTCCGTCCGTCTCTGAGTGGCGCTCGGCAACATCGCACATCACCAAAAGGGTTGGGAAGAGAGAGGAGAGCAGGGTCCCCGTGCTTCTACCTGAAACTGCTGAACGCGACAGTTCTAGGCCTTTCCTTTGGAAGGTGTTTTATCTACAAATCATTTTTGTCGAAGTTGTGGACTAAATGTAGACTAAAATAACTCAGGAGGGCGCACACTCGCGCTCCTACCGCGGTCAGTCGGCGGTCCCACGCTCTCCTCCCTACAGGGCTGGTGTCTGAGCCCGCAGCTGCACCAAATCCTTCTTCCTGAACCAGTGCCCCCAGAGCTGCTGCTGTATACATGCTGATACGATACCGATGGATCAAAGACATTTATCACCATCCTGGACCCTAAATGTAACACTCTCACGAGCCTTTTTCAAATCCTCCGTATCCCCACGCAAATCCTAGTCACTGGTCATTGGTCTCGCTTTGTACTCGTACACCTCAAGAGGAAAATGCCGCTGTCGCCGCTGCAAGACCTTGTGCAAGACCAATGGTTGGTTATCTTGTGTACCGGATAGAACAGTTGTATCGTTTGTATCCTGCCTCGTGTACGGGGAAAACTGATGTGAAACTCGGCCGCCACCTCTTAAGATGTGCCGAAACTTCTGCAACAAAACTCTACTCTCACAGCAGTCAAAGCAATGCACTTTCGGACATTACGACATCCCACTCTCCCTTTGTCTCCCCCATTCACCCCCCCCCTCCCCTGGTCGACGCGAAAAACAACAACCGTTATCATAGTATCCCCCCGAGACGGANGACATCCCACTCTCCCTTTGTCCCCCCCATTCCCCCCCCCCCTCCCCTGGTCGACGCGAAAAACAACAACCGTTATCATAGTATCCCCCCGAGACGGATTCATGGAGCTACACAGACACCACCCTGTGGACGGGAATAGCGTCCTTCCGAGACCCGCAGTGCGGCGAGACCCTGTTCAACCTCTTCAGCAAGGCCAGCTACCCGGAGCGCCTGACGGCCGGAGTGGTGCAGCAGAACCTGGAGGACGACGAGGGATGCCTGGCGACCTACTGCAGGCTCATGGGCGTAAAGGTGTGAGTTCTTGTTTGTTGCGCGGTGGCCTTTGCTGTGTAGGTTTTGATGTAGTCAACAGATTTGCGTCTCTGTGTACCCCTACAGCGCAGGTCTCATACGTTGGAAACGGATGCTCGAATCTTTGTACCCCTACTAATCAGGTCCCACAACGTTGGAAACGGATGCTCGAAGTTGCTTTATTGCGTTGACTCTCCAGGAATTAATTAGGTTTGGCTCTCCGCAGGCAAAGAGACGGAAAAAAAACCGACGAAACTACTACTGCTATAGACATGTACTTCCTCTGTTCCAAAAAATAGGAAGCTTTGGAAATATCCGAAATGTAAGGCCCTTTGAAGTTTAGGCGTTGAACGGTTTTTTCCTGGCGCCGTTTTTTTTTATCATGCTTGGACAAGATAGCCGGCAGCCGGGGGCATGGTGTGAAAAATACAAACGAAAAATCTCCCCCGGATGGAAAACCATCGCCGGTATTGATTTCCAGAGCAAGGGTCAGTGGCGAAACAGGGGCGTCTTTCTTCCCTTCCTGCGTGAAGGAAAAAGGCTCTTCTTTCGTCGTTTTCTTTAAGTTGCAATCTTGGCATTCTAAGCTACCCAGGGATGCCGGCTTTCCTTTTTTTCATGTGTTCTTCGGTTCCAACCGGTGAACAGTAGTAAAAGTTTCAAACATGAGAAACTTGGAGGAGCAAAAGCGAGGGGAAGGTGTTGACAAAAAAGAAGACAAGTGGTGTTTTTTCGAGAAAAAAACATGTTCCGGCTCGAACTTACGACATTCTCATTTGCCCGTTTTCGTGATATGTTTTGAGTTTCTTTCCAAAATTCCCTATATTTTGGAACAGAGGAAGTATGCGCGCTCGACGGACCAGAAAATATAAAAAGCAAAACGAAAGGTTACTACTGCACAGCAACCGAAGGCGGTCTCGCCTTACACTGCTGCTGCTCTCTTTGTGTGTATCTTTCTTTCTCCCGCTCTCTCTCTCTCTGAAATACCGCATGGAAGTAAGATTTATCTGTCATCTGGTGTCATGTTTGCGCGACGACTTGTTGTGCCGCACGCCGAAGCGGGTCCGAATCACGTCTAGCCCCCGTGACTTTCTACCCAAGAAATTAAATGCGGCCAGGGCGCCATCACCCGTGGAATTAATCAGAAACCTTCCATGTTGCTCTTGCGTCCCAAACACGGAAAAAAATGAAAAGAAAAAAACACATCCAACCTAGTGATTCATCGGTGTACTGTATACAACCTGTTATCCAGTGCGTGATTCAAACATATTTTCGCAAGATACTCAGGAAAAATCAAAGGGTATACGTTCACATGCTGCGGAGAAGAGCCGTCCAGCTTGGCATCCTCCCTGTACGCGGACGTGTGAAGGAGGCCCAGAGAGTAGTCAAGACAAGGGTTGTAGACGTCTGGACACGTGCAAGGTGTACAGGGTGGTGGATGGTTATGGAGATGGCATGTGTGTGTCAAAAGACGCCTTGGCGTGCGCAAGTTGCGCGATTTTTCACTGCTGCTGTGTCGGTCGTCAACACCCGCTGATATTCGTTGCGCGCACTCGCGCACCTCCGGGGGGTAGCCGCGTGCCTCTCGAAACAACGAAAGCCTGTGCGGGGGGCACAGCCGCAGTCCGCGCTTTTTTTGTAGGCCGTTCGCGGCTCGATTTTCGGTCGTTCTGCGTGGTGGTCTCTGTCGGTCTTGAGAAGTTCAAAGGGTGGGGTGGAGTCGAGAGGGGAGGTCCACATGCATGTGTGGTTTTGCTTCGCCTGTGGTGGTGGTGCCTGGCGTGGGTCAGGTCGAAGCGGCAAAGTCGGGGCTTGTGGTTTTCTCCTCTTTCATGCCTTCTGCACCCGCACGCGACACCAGGTTTTCATTTCATTCTTGCGGTCCCCTACGCCTACTTGCAAAGCTCGGTTGCTCCACATCCAAGTGGGAGCGGAACGAGCCGGATACGTCTCCGGAAATCCCTCGACGAGATGTTTCCAACAACCATTGTATTCTGCACAATGTTCGTTCTGGGGCATTCGGACGTTGAAACTCGTTATTGGTGGACTGCCATCTCTCCGCCTTTAAACGTGAAGTAGCTCGTGGAGTTCGAGGCTGCTGACACGTGCGGGGATGTGCTCATCTGTGTGCTCGCGTTCGGCTTGGAAAGCGGGAAGAGGATGTTCTCGCCAATCGTCCATTGTGTTACTAAAAAGTCCTCACGCGACTGACGATCCTTTGTCTTCGGTCTTCGGCCAAGTGACGGCATGTGTGTGTGCCTCACTCTTTGCGCGCGTCCCCGCTCCTTGTGTTCCGCCCTGGCTACCGCGGTGTGAATTGGGCGGCAATGACTCTCACTCTCCAAGGATGGAGCAAAAGACTGCCCTTTCCGTGAAAACATCCGCGTCCTTGAGATGCATGCGTCAGAGGCGCAGGGCCCCTGCTGGGCAAGACACTTACAGGTGGGTACACGGCGGTGTGTGAGCGTGTTTGGTGTTGAGGAAGGCAGTTACAGCAGTATTTGTTGTACACACGTTTCTTTCGTGTTGCCAACGTCTTCGTTGACCATCGTGACTTTGGTTGGCTTGTGCTTGTGCTCGTCGACAGCGCTCCTTGCAGGGCCGCTTAAATCTTGGAGTCTTCGGGAATGTTCAGGATCCAAAACTATCGTACTAGTGTAATGTTTGCGGTAGCGATCCCTTCGACACACTTGGCCCGATATTTTCAGACAATTGGTGTCTGGGGGCAGGTGCTCCGGAAATCTTGTTACTGTTGAAATCGGTTACCTTTAAGATATGGACCGATTGTCCCGCCGCTTGCTTGGCCATCTTCACGCATCAACAGCGTCAGCAGTTGGTAGCGACAGCAGCGGCAGCAGATACTAAACCATGTTGTGCGCAACGCAAGAAACTCGGATGGGCTTCAACGATCGATACGAACAACCGACGCGAAAAAATAGAAAATCGCAACGTTTTTGTGTACCAATTTTGGGCACCATCGAACACGCACTGGCTGCAAGCGATACAAACGGTATGTATCCGGCACAAATAATCGAGTGACGAAAAAAATAAATCCGCTGCAACAAAGACGTGAACGATAACAACAACGGTACCCTCCCCTGCAAACCCAACCAACCCTTCGCCGCCACTCGTTGCTGCTGTTGTTGTCAGTCGTACCTCCTGGCGGACGAGGAGTTCTGCATGCAGGTGGACAGTCACATGGACTTTGTTGAGGGGTGGGACATGGCCATGATGGAAGAGTGGGCGGCCACAAACAACGAGTGAGATAAATAAAATCAACTTTCGTTTTTTGTGTATTCGAGCAGCAAGAAATGCGTCGTCGTCTATTGATGCCGTCGTTTGCGAATGCAACTGCTGCGGGCCTCAGTTGTTTTTTTTGCTGATCTGGCTTCGAAATGGTTGTCACATCACGTGGCTGATTGAAATTCTTGCTCCGCCACATGTGGCATTTACACGGCCAGGCACGACGAACAACCGCTACAATATCGCGCGTGTTAGTCGGACGTCCCATCCGTCTATCGTTGGGATTGAATCGCGTAACAGGACGGTACATTCGGAGGCACGCCCGCCGCTTTTCGCGCCTCAAATGGTCGTTGGACGCTTTCTCGCCTCACTTCACGAAAGCTTCACCATTTCACCCCATACACAACAAGTACATAGATGTATAGATGACAAACCGACGCAGCTCGCCGCTAACCACACCCGGAGACCGACAATCATCGTAGAAGGACACCGATAATAGTGCTGAAAAGCGCTAGCCGCACGAAAGTTGTTCCCGTCTCCTCCGCCATGTGGATGTATTGTACATGCTATACATACAGCGCCCGCACTAATTGATAACAGTTTTAATTCCTCCTGTGAGCTACAAATGGCCGCGATATAGGTCTTGGTGCAGGGACTCTCAACCGGGCTCAGACAAGTAGTGCTCAAGTGCTTATGCTTCATACAGTGTTGAGCGTGAAGTTCGTGTATTTTCTCGAGTGCGAGCGCTTTATCTGTGTATCGTGGTTGACAATCGCGTGACTTCCCTGCATCCCTGCATGTTCTGTCGCATCGTGTCGCGGTTTGTCGTGCCGGATGAAAGGCCCGACTCAGCGGTGTGCCTGATTCCACCGCCCACAATACCGCCTCCTTCTTGTCGCGCGCACTTTTTTTCTTTCTTCTTTCTTCTCCGGTGGTGATCCTGGTCGTGCTGGTGCGGAAAAGGTACGGCGTCCTCAGCACGTACGTCCAGGACTCCAGGGTGCTCGGGGTCAACGTTAGCAAGAAGTGGGAGGTCGCCCACCTGTGCGAGGTTTATTTCTCGCCCTCTCAGCAGCCCAGGAACCAGCAAGCAAGGGTGAGATGAAAAAGAGACAAGGAAGGAGGAGGAAGGAGAGAGCGGAGGGGTGGAGGTGGGGGTGATACACATGTAGTACGCATGTTGCGTACCATCCGTTTGGTGTCGAGACGAGCGATAGGGCATCCTATTTTAGGGGGAGAAAAACATGCCTCTCTTCTCCTCGTGGAGGGAATTGACGGCGTTTACGGTGATTCTGATGTTTTGTAGTGTACAATGCTACAGCACTCAACCACGCTGCGTTATTATTCCATCTCCGTACGGCGAGAGCAAAGATAGGAAGAGAAATAATACAAGGCCCCTGGAATGTGATCAATTGTCTGAAACATGTCGTGCCCACCTTTGTGGGAAGGAGACACGTTGAAGGGCGAGCCATGGGCCACCGCCTTCGCACGGGCTATGCTTGGTTCGTTGAGTTCAACCCCCGAATCGCACGTGGCACACCCGGGTTTTGATATTGGCCAAGCTGCTTGCTTCTCTACCGCACCTACACACTCCACCGCCGCCCTTGTCGCAGCATCGCTCGAAAGAAACCCCGCAAGCCATGGATGATCCTTGCCTGTAGTGACGCCCTGATGCTGCTGCTGTTGTTGTTGCTGCCGCTGCTGCTGCTGCGGTTGCTGTTGCTGCTGCGGTTGCTGCTGCGTTCGCTGGTACTGCTGCTGCTGCTGCTACTGCTGCTGCTGCTGCTGCTGCTGCTGCTGCTGCGGCCGCTAACAGGCCATCCACGAGATGACGGAGCCGAAGCTAACGACCACGTGGGGGGCGGGGTACTCCTTCTCCAAGTGCCACGCGGAGCGGAGGGTCCCTTACGACCCAAACCTGGATCGAATCTTCGATGGAGAGGAGTTCTCGAAGATGGCCAGGCTCTGGACCAACGGGTACGACGTCTACACCCCTCGCAGAGGTCACCTCGTGCACGACTACAGCCACCCCCACCACGAACAGGTATGTGATGCATCGCGTAGCCTTGTAGACGGCCATCCTTGTTGGCAACCCGTGCCGGTGTGATCATATGTCCACTTGTTGATTTTCCTCCTAAGCCTTGCAAGTTCCATGAGAAAGCTCGGGAAGGCCTCAACGCACGGGCAAGGGGGGACAGACTCCACGTCGATGTCTGTGTTTCAGCCCCACCTTATTTTGTACTGTAAGCCGCCTCAACCACGGAACTCTTCATCGCGGAGGATGGCGATATGTAACCACTTGATTCGTGTCGACATGATCGCATGTGTTGTGCTAAGTAGAAGTACCTGTTGGCTCTTCTTGTTCCGGCACCGGAGTCGAATATTTTGCACATTTTTCGCGAGAAGAAACCATTTCCGATGGGTCATGTTGGACTTTAGCAGCGTGAGCCAGCAGTATGCTCAACCACGAGTAGAGGCGGCGAACTTGCCCTTACCTGCCAACCTTCCCTCGGCCTCTCTCTCTCTTGTTTTTTGCATCGCAACTTCAGACGACTTCCTGGAGAAGCAACAAGAAGGTGGACGGGGACGACGGAAAGGACCGACAGAGGTTGGCCAACCAGCGCCTGTGGAACCTGATGGAGATGCCGCTGTCGAGCGAGGAGGGGAGGAGGGAGGTTCAGGGCGACCCCTGGGGGCTAGGGGATCGACGGACGCTGGACGAGTTCATCGAGTTCACAGGGGTGAGGATGGCTTTTTCTTCACGCTTTTGTAGGACAAGTGGTTGAAGAGCAGGTCCCAGCGACACTTTTTGGGGCGGGGGGTGGGCATACTCTTGTGTTTCTTTTTGTTTTGCATGCCTTGGCGGATAGGCCATTGACCACGTGTCCTCGAGAGGACGGAGCATTGTTCCCACAGGATCGATCACCGATTGTCAATCATTCCTTCCGACGTTGACAAAGATGGCTCAAAAATGTCTTCCCTAGTCTGTCTATCCTATCGATATCACTTCCCGCCATTTCAACCCACTTCCGATGCCCCAGTACAGCTACTATAACATATTCTCCTGGCTATTCCATGCCTCAAACATCTCCCGGCAGTTCCCTCTACTTTTCCCAGCTCAGTCATGTACACTTGCCTCTCCTTCTTGACCAACCGACATTCCGCAACTACATGGGCACGGTCTTCGCACTAGGAGCCGCAATCACATTTAAAACTTGTCTGGGGGGGGGTTATGCAGTAGACGTGTTGGTCGTGTGGCGGTTCGTCTCCCGAGGAACAGCAGAGTCTGTTTGAGTCCCTTGTTTTTCTTCCTGTTGGAGAAATGCCGCGACTAACAGTACTCTCGAAGCCACTCTGGAATCATATCGCGGGAAAGGGTTCCCCCGAACACCGAACAATCACGAGACGACGAACTCGAACCGTCTGCGGCGGCAGTGCTCGGAGGACAGACCTTTGCAACCCCTCAGCTCAGGCTCTACGTCACGCTCCATGTTTGGTTACACCCGGTGGGGTGTGGAGGCCTACTACTGCCTTGGGGGCGTGCGTGCATGATTTGTTTCTGTTGTTTTCTTTCGACAACCCAACAAGTTTGTCTCTTCCACAGGTACAGAGGCGTGGCACGAAGATCATGGGCAATATTCACCACACGGAAGGATTCACAACACCGAATTCCAACAAAGACACGATAAACCGCGCGACTAGTAGCCCCCGCTTTCGTTGAAGAAAAGCCGCCGCCAAACTTTGAACACGTTACATCTACTCGGCCGTCTGTGTGAATGAGGCATCGATGTTGTTGCATACCTCTGTCGCTTTGGTATGCTGTCGCTGACGCACCCGCGAATCATATACTACGCCTCGGCATTAGTGTGTATGTAGATGGGCAGCACAACCGAGGCGGATTGCCAGATTGAACCAAATCTCTTCTTCCCGAAAAGAAAGTACACTGGATGCTGCACGCCCTTAAGTCGAGCGTTTACAGAACCGCGTGTTCTCGCCACATGCTGTGCTGCAGAATGGGCGAACAACGTTTTGCAACCGCCTCGTTCCCTCCCTCCTTCTCGCATCCACCCCCAACCAAAATCCCGCACACGATCAACCGCCTCGTAACCCACACAGGTCGACCTGCGCAACAAGGAGCACATTGGCGTGACCGGGGACCGCTGCGGAAGCGGGGTCGAATGGGTGCCGTACTCCCTCGACGACGACAGCAGGGACGGCGAGGAGACCTTCGTGTCGTGGAGAAGGCGGAAGGGGCTCGACCCGGTGGCCGCGGGGCCACGCTGGTCGGAGATCAAGGGCAAGCTCGAGGCCTCGGGCGTGGACGTCTGGTGGGACCCGCGGCCAGGCGAGCGGAAGGCCGCGCCGAAGGCGAGGGGGGCGGATGGTGGGCGTAAAGACAACGCCAGGCCTGAAGGATACGATAAGGGGAGTGGCGGCGTTGCGGCGCAGCAGGCGCGGCAGCCGCCGGGGGGGCAGCAATGGGGCCCGGTGGCGGCGGCCGCGGGGGAGGGCGGCGGAGGGTGGCGGAGGGCGTGGGGACGCTTCATGGTCTTCCTGTCGTGCGTCGGCGTCGTGGGCGTCGGGTGCATGGGCCGCACCAAGAGGAGGAAGAGGAGGGGGGCCGCCAGGAGGAGGAAGCAGGTGATGGAGTGGTCCAGCAACGCCTTCTCGACCACCAGCACGCTGTCTCCGCTGGTGGGGGGGAAGGGCGCGACCGCGCAACCGCCGGCGTTCGGGTGGACGGGGCCGGTGCGCAGCAAGCGCCATCAAGTCTGAGGGGGAGAGGCAGCAAGCAACCACACTATCGGTCTCTAGACAGAGGGGTGACTTTTATCTACTACCTGGTTCTGCTTACGGCGTACGGGGGGGGAGGAGGGGCAATTACGGTCGCAGGTGGGGTGCCCACCGAATGTTGCTTCATGGGTGAAGCTTTCTTGTTTAATTTTTTATCATGTTTTATCATGTTGGGCTCTATGGCACGTGTTTTGTATGCGGAGCTAAGCATACCTCGCGGCGAACCCAACCGTAAACCACGGAGCATCTACAAGAGAAAATTGATAGGACCAATTAATAGGGTGTTCTTGGACATGCGTAGTCTAGTGGGCTAAAGTTGACCGTGAGAATCCAGGCGTCTAAACAGGTAGGCTTCAGCCGACGACCGGGGAGCGCGGAGAGGGGAGGGGGCAGGCAGATGTGTGTGTGCGGGGAGGGGGGGGGATGTGTGTCAGGTTTGAAAGTATGAAGAGACGAGATCTTGGTGTGGTTCATTTTGCGAGTGGCGTCGTATTCTTAACGCACGTCAGAGAGTTGCGTCAGCCTCGACATCGTCGCCCCGCGTTGTAGCTGGAAATACCCACTCAACGCCCCCATCCCCGGCGATACGGACACGTGGGGGGTAGTTTCAAGCAGTATCGTGCCTAATAGAGGTGAAGTGTAAATGGCGATGGGGCTGCTCGTGTGTTTTAGCGACAAGTTTGTTCGTGTGTTACTGCTGTGCGTGCGGACTCCCCCGCGTCTTAACTCCTCCCCCGCTGAGGTTCCTGGGAGTGTCTGGGGGAAGCATGTTACGACTGGCTTCCACGTGCGCGCAGTCACCCAAACATTTGTGCATAGAGATGCATGGGGTAGTTTGTGGCGGAATAGGTGTTAACTAAGCATAGTTCGTTGGTTTGCTGTAGGTTGAGGTGCACCCCCTTGCGGGACAATCTGCTTGGGAGCTGTTTTCGTTCTGATTTCACTCTCATCATGCCTCTATTGTGCACTCCTTTTAACGTAGTTAGCTTTTTGAGCGTAGTTTACCAGTCCGGGTGGCAGAGAATCTCGTTCGCTTCAAACAAACCTGCCCGGCGAGTCTCGCCAAAATATATGTAGTTTGGTTGCCCTCGAATCAGTTAAAAGCGATGTCTTTCTGGCAACAACAGAGCGATACGGCAGGGATTTGATGTGAACTCCCATTCCCTGGACCGCACCTGCGGCCAACCGTGAGACGTGGCAGCGCAATGGCGCGATTGATAGGTCATTAGTAAGTAGAACGGGGAGCGGGGACGCAGACCGTATTCCCTAACCACAACTCAACTTCCCCGATTGTACTCTTTATCCAACATGTTGACATAATAATACGAAAAGCAAAAACCCTAGGGAGGCTACTTGAGACTTGAGACGTGCGTGTTTTAATCCTTCGACCATGCGCGAGCCTGGGGCGGGGGTTCAACGCTGTTGTTCCGTCCGACATAGGGACGGCACTGCATGATGATAGTACATTCGTGTGTGCAGGTTGCTGTGCCATCGGACGACGAGTCAGCGGTGGCTCGTTTAAATCGTTTGAGATCGGCTGCTTCCAAATTATCGATATTTCGAGACTCACTCATTCTTGTCTCGCAGGCCGTACGTTTCCTTCCCATGGTTCTTGAAGCCGTTATGAGAAGCCCTTCACTTCACCTAATGTCTGAGTGTGATTTGTCTTGTAACCCGTGGAACGAGCTGTGTTGTTTCACGTACGACATTTCATCGCGACTGTTCAGCGAGAGGAGGGGTTAAGGCATGTGCTCTTCGTCGCGGTCGATGTAACTTTCATGAGTTACGCCACCTCTCTTTGGGGGCAAGACGTCAGGGCTGTTGCCAAAATCGTATCTTGTCGACAACACAGGAAACAGGAGGGATATGTTCACCAATTCGCCGGCACCACAGTTCCCATGCGATGGTGTCTACAGGTGTGTGCAGACAGATGTTGGAGACAAAATCTCAGACGAGAGCAACACCATATTCTGCGCTTCGCTGAGGCTGCTGTAGTCTCGTGGACAACGAGGATCGTACCATAAGGTACGTCCAGGCATGGAAAGATCGGGTCAAGAGCCGCGGATGGACGTAAGAAAGTGCGTACCAGGATGATACTAAAACAGGAGAATGCATGAATCTGGCCCGCGTACTCACGCATGTTTGGGCACGTCATGGAAAAAAAACAAAACAAAAAACACGGAGAGAGGATATAATCGGCAGCAAAAGCGGATCCACCGCACCCATGCCCTTGTAATGTGCAAAATTGAGGCCCCTTCTTTCATCTTTGCCTGCCTGGATAGACCGCCAATCATGGTTACGGTAACCGATCTAACCACGCGCGCGACAAACAAAACGGAGTTACAAAAAAATACTTCGTACGTGATAATCTAGTCCTGCATTTCCACCACCATGACCTCTACCGTAAGAAACCGCTAGAGGAAAGAGAAAAATCCGCAACTAGTATTTGTCACCAACGGAGGCTAAGAACATATGGAATGGTGCCCGCGTCCTATCGGGTACCCACCGTTGTATCACGAGAAAATCATAACCTGTCCCAGAGCGAGAATCTGTAATCCGAATGGGACACAGCGGCGTTGATCAGGTCCCGCGAACAGACGAATACCCCAGTGCGTGCCTACCGCCCCCATTGCCCCTCCTCCGCCCCAAGAGGGTACGTACGCAAACCGTCGTTCAACGGACCGTCGCCATTATTGAAGCTAGTATCGTCCCTCCTTTGCGGACGGGTGACACCATCCTCCCTCTCTCTCTCGAACCTCGCTTACTTATGGCGAAAGCTTGTGTCAAACAAGGCTCCATCCCCGAAGCAAAACCCACTACTCCCAGCGCTAGGTCGTACCAGAGCATGCTACGGTGAACTAATTCAGAGCAAACGGAACTCTCGGCCCATGCAATGATCATCGCCGGCAAAACAAAATTTCATCCCCATCCCCAGGGGGGGGGGGGGGGGGGGG